ATTTCAATAAAAGTTTCTTTTTACTACCAATAAAGAAATTATGCTTAGAGGCATGGAGTGTACACTTCTACTATGCGTCATGTGCCTCATGCACACCTCTTGATAGAAAATGAAGAGGAACCTAACTGTTGTGCCAAGGCCCATCCTCAAAACATTGATCATTATGTATGCCTATTACAAAATATGTATACTGTGGTTTTAGAAAATATAACATCATTAATGTCTAATTAAATAATTAATAATTTTTAATTAATATGTTTAATTAGGATAATATATGAGGTGAAATATTTATTCAATTTGACATGTTTGGTTGTGTCAATTGCTGGTTGAAAACTTTTCCAAAAATATTAATATATCTTTGAATTTAATCCTAAGATCTTTGGACTTTAGAGGATTGTTGAATGCTAATGTCCAATAATCAGAACCCAACCTTTTGCAATAATTTCATAGTTTTTTTAATCTTGTCTAAAAATAAAAAACTAATGTCCAAGAGATACTCGAAAGTAACCTATTTCAATACTTTGATTGATTGCCCATATGGATGAACAAATCGAATATGTGGTCTATAATATTAGAGTAGGGGGGTGAACTAGGATCTTGGACAGTAGCCTTGGGATGTGTTTGTGGTGAGTGGCCATTGAATTACTCAGGGCTCCCCTTAGGTGCAAACCCTAAAAGTGTAGCTTCTGGAACCCAATAGTGGAGAAGAGATTGGTAGTTTGGAAAATGAACTATATTTCTCTTGGGGGTAGGTTAACATTGATTAAGTCCAATCGGCTAATCTACTTGTGTATTATCTTTGTGTTCAAGATGCCTTAAGTGTTTGTTCAAAGAATACATAAATTGATGAGAGATTTCCTTTGAGAAGTTGGGGAGGGGAAGAGGGTTCATTTGGTTAGGTGGGATGTAGTGAATAGAACAAAAGAGGATGGAAGCTTGGGAATAGGGAACATTGGTAACAAGAATCTAGCTCTGCTTGGGAAGCGACTGTGGAGATTTCCAATTGTGGTTGAAAGATCGTGGCATAAGGTTGTGGCTAGCATTTATGGGCTCTAAGAAAATGGATGGGATGTTGGATTACAACACAAAACTACCCTTCCTTCATCTTGGAAGGCCATCTTTGATACTCTTCCTTTGTTTCTTACCCACATCAGGTAGCAAGATTAAATTTTGGAAGATCTTTGGCTTGGGGAGTCTCCTTTGGAAGATTTGTTTCCTCGATTGTTCGGTTAAAATCGAAAAGCCGAACCAAAATTTTTGGTTTCGGTTTGTTTGGTTCGGTTAATTCGGTTTTAAAAAAATTCCATTTTAGGATTAGAAATTCGGTTAGGCGCATTTTAGGGTATGCACCTTGCCTAGTCCTAGGCGGAGTATTTTCAAAAGGCGCTCACCTAGTGCACCTTGCGCTTTAGCCCAGGCGTGCACATTTTGAAAGTCTATGCATTTTTTTCTATGTGTGTGTGTGTGGCGTCTGGGTCGGGGGCTCTTCCCCCCAGACCCCTGACCAAGCCCCTCGAGGCAAGCCCAAACACGTCCATATTAGGGTACTGAAGCAGACATAACCCACCATATTTGCTAATGTTGCTCATTCATTCATCCTAATAAAAGACATTTTTAAAAGACACTTAACGTTATAAAATCTTTCTTTTTTATAGGGATTAAGAATTTTAGACCCTAATATGGACTTGTCTGGGCTTGCCTTGAGGGGCTTGGTACAAAGGCGACTCCTAGAATCAAGAATGCACAATGTTTAACATCATATTAGCTATTTGGAGTAATGCAATTGGGAAAAAATAAAGAGATTTACAGTTTACATGCTTGAATATGTTTTATATGTTATGCTTGATTTTATATTTAGATTTTCATTTTAAATATTTTTTACATGCTATGTTTATGTATTTTAATTTGAGATAATAGGTTTTTTAAAGCATTTATTTTAAAATTAAAGTTTATATTTTTAATTAAAAATTTGTTTAGTATTTTGATAATTTGCATTTTTTTTGAAAATTTTGCCTTTTTTTTAGATTTTTCTTGCATTTTTGTGCCTTGCTTCAAAAAGGTGCACACCTTGCCTTGGGTGCAAAATGGCCCTTGTGCTTTTTTTGTGCCTTTCTCTTTTAAAAAACTGTTACTATCTCTAGCCTTAAAGGTAAACCCATCTTTGACCTTGTCATCCCTTCTACCTCACCCTTGGGTTTGATTGGAATTTGGGTTTTAGGAGAAATATAAGAGAGTCGGAATCCTTTTTAATTCTTGCCTTATGAAAGTATTAGATGCACTATTCTTGAAAGATCTAATGGGGGCAAATGTCCATGGGCTCAAAATCTTGATAGAAGTAGTCTGGTGTGCTCCTATTCCACCTAAAGTTAGTTCCTTTTGTTATGAAGTTTTCCATGGAATCATCAATACTAGTGATTTATTGCGAAAAACGATACTCAATTAGCCTCTTACCAAAGGTAGAGGTTGGTGGAAGTTAAACTTTGATGAGAGCAGTATGGGAAACCCTGGGACATCTAGTGTTTGGGGAGTAATAAGGGATTAGAATGGAGGTATTCTTGCAATGTATTCAGGTTCAATAGAAGGAGTTTTACTGAGGGTAGAGATGAAGGCAGCAACCATTGGAAAGCCAAGGAGATGGGAGCACAAAGAGTGATTGTTGAGTGAAGACAGCTTGGTGCTTCAGAAATGAAATCAGGTGTTTTAAATGGTTTTCAAAGGATATGCAGATTGAGGTTCAGCGGGTACAAAGATAAGCCAACAGCTTGGCGGATGGCCTGGCAAAATAGGGAGTCAATAGTCAACTGTTTTTTGGGATGTGCTGTAAAATGCAAGGGTTGGGTGGGATAGCAGAAGCTATTTTGATTTCCAATTAATTGTAGTCACAACCTTTTGTTCTACCTTTTCTATTTTCTAATTATTGAATGAAATTTCTTTTCTTGTCGCTGTTCAAAAAGAAAAAAAAATATTAGAGTAGGGGGATGGAATTGAGATTTCTATGTGGAGTGTTTTGGTCGTTGTGTATTCATCTTACTGAAGGAAATATTTCATAAGACAACTAATGAAGATCACCAATTGTATGAAATGGAAAGTTGTGCATTTAGAAATATGGAACAAGTATAGACAAGATGAGAATTTTGAGATCATGAGTGTCAATTCCAGGCAATATGGATTATAAGATAATTGGTTCATGGGAACATAGGGATATCCTAGTTATTGAAAAAATGAAGGAATATTTATTGAGTTGATTTTTAAATGTACATCCAAGTGAAATAACTTTATCACCTAATGGAGTTATTTGGCTCATGTTGAAGGATTTGGAAGAGCAAGAATTATTTCTCATTTTCCTAGGGTAAGAAAATCCTTACCTAAAATTAACTACAATAGAAAAAATTTATAGTCATATTTCTTCAGACATGGGAGGATATATGTGAATAATCTATGTAGGATTAGTCAGAATTGAGGTATAGTCTCTTAAAATAAGGGAACATAAATTTGAAACTTTTGAACACAGTTTGTGTCTTTCTAGTTGTGGTCACTTGTTTCTTTCTTATTTTTTTTCCTTTTAAGTGATTTTTATATTGTTCACCAAATCCAAACAAACCATTACATTTTAGATGCCCAAGATTGAGCTAAGTTGGTTAATGACATGACTTTATTTTCTAGGAATTTACTATTCTTAGCAAAAATTAAATTTACTATTTATAGTAGTTTCCAGGCTTACAATTTATAGAAATTCCTGTAATTGTTATGGTAAAATAATTCATTTAGTAATTTCTGACCATTTTCAGGTCTTTTCTCTTTCCTCCTGATTTTTCTCTTCTAAGTAATCTATCTCTTTTCTGTTTACTCTAATAGCAAGAGTTCCTTTAATTCTTTCTGATCTTCATCTCATTCTATGGTCAACATCAAGTGTCTACTTGCTTTTCCATCTATATTCTTCATCATCAATCATCCAAGCTACAAATTTCACCACAAGATCTGAAAATCGTAGGACCCCCTACCTATCCTACATCAAGTTTGCTCTTGTTTTGGTTCCTAATGGTAAACCTTTGTAATGGTTCCTAGAACAATTCTAGCCATATTGGCGTATGATAATATGATATCTGTCATCACTGTGCACAAGGAACACTGTGTAGGGCGTAATTCCTCTGATGTTGATGGCAGTACCTATATTACCTAAAACTTTATAGCTTGCAGTGGTCAAATTTTTTCTTCAGGGGTGCTATAATATAAAACTTAGAGCAAACTTTTAGGCCACTTGATTGTATTGTCCTTATTCTACAATAAATCAACTTAATCCTTTGCATCTCATTATCTTGGTATAGATAGGGTGCTTTTCTGAGTGGTTTTACACTTTTACTGGTTTCCCACACACCAGATGGAAGGCCACATAGTTATTCCATCTGGAATACCATATCCTGACTTAGGGTCCTGGTTTCAGGAGAGCAAAGTCAGTAGCCAAAGTGAAGTAGAGTGGTACATGAACAAATTGGGTTTCTTTGTCATTATGGTAGGGACTAGGGATGAGACTGTTTCTTTTTTTGTTCTGATGAGATGAGACTGTCCAAAATGAATGGTGTTAAAGACATTTATTCACCTAAGATTTGAAAGCTGCAGAAGTAAGATCACATCCTTGCCTACCTTTCACAATATTAATTTCCATTGTGATCACTTACATGGAATAGTTTTTGTCATATGAGATGTTTATATATAGAATGTAGTGCAGAAGATGCTGATATTCTTATCTTTGATACTGTGCTTAGCTGGAGAAGGATATTTTAGTTTAGATATTTCGAGCTAATAAATAACTTTGCCTTGAATTATTACTCTAGTTATTGGATCATTGAGATGATCGCTTATTACCTCCCTTTTCATTAGGATGAATTTTAGTTGTTGAGTATTTGTTTCTCTTGCACCGAGTGTAATAGAATGTGATATGCGGAGAAAAGTGGGAATTCATACTAATGATAATACATTTCCTTGCATTTTTTGGAATGTAGCTTGCAGAAAGCTCTTTACCTGTATTTCAAGGAACTTCAGGATCTACAATGAGTTTAGCATGTCTTGTGTGCCATAGTGTAGATAGTCCATCTCAATCTTTTAGGAGTTACTCTGTTTCAAGTTCAGACAATGAAGGCCGCTGCTCTGGGATTGTTAACTGTTTGGCAAGGAAAGCATCTCTCCACTCAGAGACTCCAAACGGCATGATCACATCATCCAAGGTGACCCCACATCCAATTATGGCCAATGGTCAAGTAATCACAGGGTCACCACGCCTGGTCCGGAGCTGTGCTGTTAGAAGAGACCTTGTGAGGGACTGGAATTTTGATGAAGTAGTGATGGAGCGCTAGCATACAACATTGACAATATAGAAGAGCTGAGAGCTCCTTTTGTTAGAGACTGGTTAAATATTGCTAAAGCTCTGAATTCACTCTCTTTGAGTTCACTCTGTATTTGTACATATTACATTTCACCCAATCAACCTTGCCTTAGATTTGTCTTTATTTTGCTTGGACACAGTGCGTTATCCTTGATGAAACTGTACAGACACTGATGACTGGAACGGTTCCCATTAGGTTTTTCTTCCTTGTGTTTTTGCCAGTGAAAATTTTCTTTGTTTCGGATTCATGGCAGCTGTCTGACCTCTAACAATTCAGGTCCACCACAAATTACGACCTCTAACATCCTAATTGTGGCGCACCAAAAGGTACATGCGAATTGTATCTCAGTTAATTCTACTGCATTTCGGCGCTCAAATGCTTTTTTTTGGATGGGCAAAATTGCACCCATAGTCTGACTCCAGGGAAAAGGCATCGACTAGAAAAAGCCTTCTCAATCAATAATTTAGAAAAGCCTTCTCCATCAATAATTTAAGGCCCCGTTTGTTTTTGGGATTTTGAAGGGGGGATGTTGGCCACTGGGATTGTAGTTGCCATTGATCAATTTACCCATGATCTTATTTTGGAGACATGTGGGATTCATGGAAAAATTGATTTTCTAAATTTGAGTAAGTTGAATTTCCCAAGTAAAGGGTAAATGGAAAATTAAAATGGTTAAAATTGATTTTCTCAATTTGAGTAAGTTGAATTTCCCAAGTAAAGGGTAAATGAAAAAGTTAAAATGGTTAAAATTGATTTTCTCAATTTGAATAAGTTGAATTTCCCAAGTAAAGGGTAAATGAAAAAAATTAAAATGGTTAAAACTGTTTTCAAAACCAGACCGGACCGGGCAGTCGAACCGAGAAAACTGGCCTGACTGGTTCCGCTGCTTTTTCCCCTAAAACTGTTGATTTTGGTCAACAAACTGCTGAACCAGCCAATTAACCATTCGAATCGTTCGAACGGTTTTGACCGTTTTTTAATTTTTTTTGTCAGAACAGGCCGACCGTTCAGGTCGAATGATCAGACCGTTCAAACCGATAACCGGACCCCTGACCGGTTTGGTCACCGATTCATTTTTAAAAACCATGAACATTTACCTGGGTAAATTAAACAAAAGAGAATGGATAAGTGCATTGACCCACCGACCCGGGAAAGTAGGTTCCTGTAAAAAGAACAGGGCCTAAGTTAATTTTGTATTGCTTAATAGCATATGATCCCCATCCAAAAGAGCCCTAAATTTATAATGATCGACACGGGATTCAGACTGGAAATCACAATCTTTTCTGCTAGGAAACCTAGGTCTAATTTTTTTTTATACACTAACGTTGGTCTAATATGGATAAAGAGTAGGTAAAGACTTAGAAACTTTGGTAATACCCTTCCCTAACCAGATTAGATAGATAATTGAATGCGTACAATCTTCAAAATGCCCTTATGGAATAGACTTCTAGTTTTAGTGCAATGAATGAAGCCTGCGAGGCACTGTAATAAGGACTTGCAAAAAGATAGAAGCGGTGCAAAATACGTTCCAACAGATCTAACACTGCACATCTCACCATGAAATTGGAACCCATCATAGAAGTGGGACCTGCCATATATTAGATGTGCGGTGTGAGATTTTGTTGGTAGAGGTTTGGTACATGTTTTTTGTTGACGCAATATAGTCCAATTCAAGGGGTGATCTGATTCGTTAGATAAACCAATCCATTTTTTTATAACGAATCTCAAACAATTGTTGGTTCTTTTTTCTTGGGCTAATTATTTATATATACCCTGAACTTTCAAAAACAATTATTACATGTCTTATTGACCGGCCCCACAGTAAKAGAGCTTCCCCTCTTTCAACCATTACAACAAGAACTATTAATCAATTCATTTGATAAAAAATATATAAAAGGAAGAACACATTGGGTTCCCCTACCTGTTTGGTTCAGAATCGGAATCGAATTTCGATTGATGCTACTTGGTTCATGAGGAGGCTGGAATTGGAATCAACCATCATGGAGGAGTCTCTGTTCGGACATTTTGAGCAGYGGCTGACAAAATGGGCTATTTGGATAATAAGAAATTAGACAAACAAGGATCAAATATTTCATGTATGTTCTGTTCTCTACCTTTTTTTTTTCCCTTTTTCTTTCATCTTGTTGATGACAATTTTCTGGTTAGCTCATTTTAACTGATTTATTCTGATTTTGGGATTTCCAGTTACTCCTGGGTTCAAGCTTGGAGACGGTTCGGTCATAAAGGAAGGCTGAGGTGCATTCAAAGCCCAAAAGCACAAAGCAAGTTTTGTTTTGCCTGGCTCAAAACGATAAGAAATCTGCCGTTGCAAGGGTAGTATGAGGCTTAAAATATATGGCAACGAAGGTTTTGGACGGAAGGCTAATGGAAAGGGGGTCTTTGTCTCATGGTCATAGTACAGGGGGTCTTTATTGCAAAACAAAGTACAGGGGGTCTTTGTCATAGACCCCATATTACAGGGGGGTCATTGTAATTTATCCTAAAAATAAAAAAAGCAGAAAATGCATGAAAATACCAAAATATGTAGAAATTGCAGAAATTTTGCAAGAAAATGCAGAAATTACAATAATTTTGTAGAAAATTTAGAAAAATGCATGGAAATACTCAAAATTTGCAAAAAAATGTAGAAATTTTGCAGGAAAAATGCAGAAATTACAAAAATTTTGAAGAAAATTCATGGAAATACTAGAAATTTTGCAAGAAAATGCATGAAATACCTGAAATTTTGCAGAAATTTGCAAAAAATTGCAGAAAAATGCATGAAAATCGGGAATTTTGCAGAAATTGTAAAAGTTGAAGGAAAACACAGAAATTACAACAATTTTGCAGAATAATATAGAAATTACAGAAAATTTGCAGGAAATTGCAGAAAATTGCATGAAAATATTAGGAATTTTGTAGAAATTGAAAGAGCAAGAAAATGCAGAAATTACAACAATTTTGCAGAAAACTATAGAAATTACAGAAAAATGCATGAGAATACCTGAAATTTTGTAGAAATTGCAGAAAATTGCAAGAAAATCAGAAAATTTCAGAAATTATAATAACTTTGTAGAAAAAGTCCAGAAAATGCATGAAAATATCAAGGATTTTGCAGAAATTGCAAAAGTTGCATGAAAATGCAGAAATTACAACAATTTTGCATAAAATTATAGAGATGACAGAGAATTTGCAGGAAATTGTAGGAAATTGCAGAAATTACAATAATTTTGCAGAAAAATACATGAAAATATCAGGAATTTTACAATAAATTGCAGAAAAATGCATGAAAATACCTAAAATTTTGCAGAAATTGCAAGAAAATCAGAAAGTTGCAGAAATTACAATACTTTTGCAGAAAAATTCATAAAAATGCATGAAAATAAAAGGAATTTTGCAGTAAATTGCAGAAACTGCAGAAGTTACTTGAAAATTGTAGAAATTAAAGAAAATATCATTTACTTTGCAGGAAAATGCAGAAATTACAACAATTTGCAGAAAATTATAGAAATTACAGAAAATTTGCAGGAAGTTGCAGAAAAATGCTTGAAAATACCTAAAAATTTGCAAAAATTGCAGAAAATTGCAAGAAAATCAGAAAATTTCAGAAATTACAATTATTTTGCAGAAAAAATCAGAAAATGCATGAAAATATGAGGAATTTTGTAGTAAATTGCAAAAATTACAGAAAAATGCAGAAATTACCTGAAAATTCTAGAAAATATCATTTACTTTGTTGGAAAATGCAGAAATTACAACAATTTTGCAAACAATTATAGAAATTACAGAAAACTTGCAGGAAATTGCAGAAATTGCATAAAAATGCTTGAAAATACCTGAAATTTTGCGGATAGAATTCTGATAGAACATGCTATTAGTAAACTTTTGATGTTTATAGGCTCTTTATTAGGGATGTGAATGGGTTGGGTGTGGTATAGGTTTACCTCACCCTAAACCCAAAGTGAAGCAACTCCAATTTTGAACCTGACTACTAAATGGGTGGGTGGGGGGTATTGAACCCGCCCTGTTCCATACCATAATGCCAATTGACTGGCTTTAGGATGGGCTCACCTCAACATGAACCCAGCCAAAAACTCAATTAAGGATGACAAAGTAGAATTTTCATCAAGAAACATGGGTTTTCATCATATCAACTAAACTAAATGGAAGAAGAAAACCTTCAAATTTTCTTCTGCTTATGCTTTGAAGGGCCCATTAACATGTTTTGAGGTAATCTCTTACTCTCTTAATACAATTACACTTTTACTTGTTAAAAAACAAAGTATCTCTTCCAGTTATCAAGAATTTTGTGCAGTAAAGTCTTTTTAAATAGTCTTGGTTCATCTCCCAAAAGAAAAAAAAAAAAAAGAAAGAGCCTTGGTTCTCAGTTTCATACTTTTAACATTCTTTGGAAACATTTCAAGTTTTGGGTTGATTATATGACAAAACTCTTTTGGATGGATGTGGGCTTCACCAAAACTTAATTTTGAGCAATTGGGCTTCACTTTGGATAAGCATGCATTTAAAAATGAAAAACAAAGTTGATAAATGATATCTTTTGTTTAAATCTAATTTCAAGGACAGTTTTGATTAAAAAAAGCAGTCATGTTGATTGTTTTATTCTTATGTTTTTTCCTCTATTTTATTTACCTTTCCTTTTTCTGTTTGATACAGCATAAGACTATTGATAGTGTGCTTGCATGAGGTGAGAAATGGGATAGTTTATTGGTCTTAGGCTACACATTCATAGTCATGCATCTACCACTGTATCATAGATACTGCTGTATCATCTATCTATCTATCTATCTATCTATTTATCTATCTATATGTGTGTGTGTGTGTGTGTGTGTATGTATGTATGTATGTATGTATGTATGTATGTATGTATAAATATAATACATGTATGCATGTTAAGCCTATGCCCGTCCATATTTACATTATATGCTTTTTATATTTTGAGGCTTCGTTATTTTATTGTTTCCTTTCCACTAGTCTGTTTGTTTGGTGTTATATTCTGAAACTGAAAGCATGTTATAGACCAGAAATGTATTAATATCCACCTTCACGTTAATGGGTTATTGGGTCATATTTCTATTAAAGGCTTCTTTATTAGGACTCTCTCACCTCCAATGTTCTGCTGTTATTTTTGTTCATTTGCAAACCTTTAACGTGAAACCCCATCTTTCCACATGCTCCCTGTTTGCAGTTGTGTATGTAATCATGAGTTTTAGTTTCACCACAGTTGATTAAACTTTTGAGGAAGCTAGAATTGTGGAACTTGTATTTATGCATGCATTATATCAACAGTTCCACATGGACATCAGCAATGTAGATAAACATGTACTAGCCAACATCTTATATTTTGACTGAGTTCATACCAGTGTTTGTACATCTTAGAGTAAAGATCATTTCAATGTATGTAAAAGAAAGCTGCAATGCTGATTTGAAGTTCTGGGTGTTGAATGTTGGAACAGATGTTTTACAAGCAAGCCAAGAAGACCAATCAATGTTGTACCATATTATAGGCTTATGAAATCTGGAAAGGAAACAATTATTCGATCCTTGGAAAAGGATCTCTTGATAAGGAGTTCATCATCCAGCTATGATCAGAAGATGGCAACCAAATGGGATTTGTATTCTTATTTTATATATCATTTTCTTAAGGGATTTGTATTCTTATGAAATCAGAACTTATTGACTGAATGGTCTCACAGAGCTGACTGTGTGACCACAAATCTAGTTTTAGGGGCTGGTGCTTGACTTAGTAAATATATAACCTGAACCCTACCTCGCCATCTAGGCTGATCCATGCCTACCTGAATCCACAAAGGAGCAGGAGGGTTGAGCCTCTAAGATGATCAGGTGATTCAGGTCAATGATTGCCACACATTCTGAAGAATGAAGGAATTCCTTAGGCTACATTTGGTTTATCAGGAAACTAGTGAGAAAGGGGCAATTATAAGACATTTCATGGAATTCCTAAGAATTTTTTGTTTTCAACTTTTCCTTCACACTTGCTATTCAAGGAACCAGACAAGAATTTATAACTATATAAATGCTTTATGAATTGGGTGTTGTGTGTAATGTCATATGAACCAGCTGAGCAAGATGGCATGATCAACAACTGCACAAGGCTGGTTCAGTCTAAAGGAATGTTCAGCAACATGATTGGTTTTGTTTTTAAAACAAAAACAACCGCCACATCAGCAAAATCAATATATTTTTGATGGAAAGGCAACTGTATTTGTCTTGAAAAAACATACACATCGGTGAGCATCCCCTAAAAGGGTAAGGCACCTAGAATGGATTGACAATAGCTTCTTCAACTTAGAGGTTGATTAGCAAGGTGGTATGGTTGTTGGTATGAACAAGAATGGATCTAAGTCTGTGGTGTATCTCTACTCTGTGGCTTTACAGTCTCTGCTAGCTGGCATATTCAAATATTCAAGAACAGTTCAATGTAGTCTTCTTTACCTTGTACAGGCTTCCCTACCTTTTCTTTCAAACCAAACACAGCTTTAAGGGACTACAGTCTCTTCACTAGAAGAAGAAATCTAAGATTGGATAAATAAATTGTAGAACTCATGCAATTGTCAAAGGGTAGGGATCTGCTACCAACAAAATATTCTGAACACTGCCCCAACAAACCGCTGCAGCCACACATTAAGAACATCTTGGCAATAAGAAAACATCCTTAGTAGGATCTTCTCCAAAAAATCATATGCACCAAATGACTTACTAATTATGACTTTGACAGTGAATATTATAGTTATCGGCTTAATTATAAGAAAAAATGAAGTGAAATGTAAAGACACTGACATTGGCAATCCAACTGAATGCAAAAGTCTGTTAATCTGAACTGAAGAAAACAATCTGTATTACTTTTTGACAAGTTTTAAGAACATGGATGTAGCCCCAACCATATGCTCAATAACACTTGTCTTTTCTTGTATGTGAATAGGAAAAACAATAGTAAGGCTCACTACATGGCAAACCTGGCCAGAAATCAAAACAGCTTTTATCTCGTTTATAAATTACCGTCCACCTTGGCCAAACGTGTAATATTTGGTGGAGCTTCTCTTGTTTCCTTGGTTTAATGAAAGCCCACTTACAAATAAATAAATAAAAATGACTGAGCTTTCAAACAGCAAGTTTGGCGTACAAACTACATACAAAACTGCGAAAATCTGTGAGTTTCAACTATGAACTGTACTCACCGATTGCTTGGATTGACTGGTGTGAAAAACTTGTTAATGGTAGCAGTGAAGAAGTAGATCGATCCCAAATAGAGTAGGAGCGGATTTGCAGAAGAAGAAGAGGAAAGGAGAGAGAGATCCATGATGACCTGGCCGGAGTAATACAGGTCGGATATTCAGAGTTCAACCGCCGAACTGCAGAAGGTTTGAAGGGTGTCCGGATTTCCCACTAACCCCATTCTGCTGCCTTTCCTACTAACCCAATCACTTGGTGACAGTTGTCCCATTTTCATGTGACCTCAATTTTACGTGCAACAATTTACACGTAAGATATCTTCCCTTCCCTCCCCCTTCTAGCGCTGGTTCAACTCCGGCTGGTAGGAAATCCCCCTCCTCCCCCTCTGGATCAACAGTGTTCCAATCGCAAAAGTTGATAGGTCAGCTCCGTATTAGCCCAGATTGGATAGAGTCTGTCATGAACAAAATCAGCGTAACCTATCCTTGGTCCAGGATCCAGGACCGTCGGGCAGGCCAAAAAGAACTGAAACATCATATATTGGCAATTGAATGAATAAATGCATACCATAAGCTCGTTTGGATTCAAACGCCTTTATATCCTCTACATGCAGCGTCAACGGAAAATACGCACAGCAATGGTAACAGATGTACCTGAAAATTCATGCAAATTACACCATAAAATTAAGAAAAAAGTTATTTGGTAAACTATAATTGAAGAAAATTAGGGAAAAAACGATTTTACCATGCCAATGTTCGACCTAATTTACTTTCATCGTTAATAGGAAGCACCGTAAAAAACAAGAGCAGAACAAATCCTGAAAAAAAAAGTGTCAGAATTCAGAAAGACGAAAGCAGAGAGAGAGAGGGAAAAGGCTAAGCAGAGTTGACGGAGAAAAGGAGAACAAGTTTACTACGCACGAGAAAGCTAGGTAATTTGGAAGGAAGCACGCCATGGGAATCAATGCCGCGACCAAATGTAAGGGACCGAGCAGAAGGGCGAGAGCCGTTACCATCTGCCACAGCGAAGATTCTTTTCTCTGGATTACTGTAGGCTCATCGGCGGAGTTAACGGAGTTTTCACGGTCACCGATAGTCTCCGGCATGGATACAGGCATATAGCTATCAGAGAGAGAATTAGGAGGAGGTTCCCGTGAAGGTTGGTTAAAACGAACCTGGGCTTGCCTCGGGAAGGTATGTCTTAATGAAAATTGAAACACTGTTGAACCAGAGGGGGATTTCCTACCGGCCGGAGTTGAACCAGCATTAGAAGGGGGTGGGAGCCTGGGAGGGGAAGATATCTCACGTGTAAATTATTGCACGTAGGATTGAGGTCATATGAAAATGGGACAACTGTCACCAAATGATTGGGTTAGTAGGAAATCCGGATTGATTTGAACGAGGGAGTGACGACTGACAAGAGGGTTGGAAAACTTGAATCAGGGGTTTGAAGGGTTTTTCCGTCATTTTATTTTTATTGTTTTAACCGGCTGGAATGGAAATCCGATTCCGATTCCGATTCCAAGGGAATGGGTCGGAATGGCCATTTCCTCAAATGGGGGAATGCCATTCCGCCCCAAAAGAGAATCGGATTCTGATTCCATCCAATTAAATGACTGGAATAGGAATGGACCATTCTGATTCCGATTCCTCCAGACCCCTATTCCTGCGAACCAAACATATCCAAATTATTTTTTTTGACAAGTATCAGCTCTGCCAGAATGCCAAGTTTAATCTTATATTTGGAATTTTTCTTACCCTATTTGTTTTGTTCTGGTTTCCATTTATTTTTGACAAATCATTATTTGTTATGTATTCTTTGCATCTATGTTTCAGGCTTTAGAGCTCTCATTAGATTTTAATGGTCTTAGATTCTTTTGAACGATATTGATTTGCTCAATTTCGACTGAGCTTGAGAAAATGATGCACAAACTCAAGCGTCTTGTGCACTCACCAAATTCATTCTTCATGGTTATTATCCATATCGAAATTCATAGTTTACCTGAAATTAATCACTAATTTTTCTATATCTTCATTTATTTAATATCCATTAGAACGTTGGAAACTGAATTCTAAGATCAAATGGACATTTGCCATGTAACTCAAGTACAAGAGACACCTCTATGCCTCTATGTGTTGTCTCTTGGATTTGACAAATTGTCCAATCTTTAATCCTACTGGCCAAATTAATCAAAAGGATGTCCCACCTATACCAATTTTAGTTATTTTACCATTTTAATGCAATGGGTCTGAGCTCCTATAATAAACCACCTAAGGTCCAATTTAGAAAAGAAAGTAAGCCTAAATAAGACACGACTCTTTTGACTTGACCTGGCCCTCATCAACTTGCTTATTTCTTGATTCTTTTAAATTAATTCTTGATTCTTCCTTATTTCCTTTAATCTCTTGCAGTCATATCCAAATTAATCAATACTTATAAATTAATGCAAGACTTGAAACAAGGGTTAGAACATTCATAGCTTTACCTATATTGCTATTATCAAAATATATTCTAACACATTCTAGTGCAAATGCAAGCAAGTTCTGTTCTTCCTTGAGTTGATTACATAACAAGCCTAAGGACAAGATATTTGACTTTAACTTACTCTTGCTTTAGGCTTGATCATCTTATTCCCTTTGGATGTCTCCAATTGATCCTTTTGAAGCCAAGTTAAATATTTCAATTTCTTGCAAGGAACACATAGTTTTATACCTATACAATTCACTACAAGACTTGAAACATAGGGTTAGAGCATTCATAGCTTTAGTAGAAATTGCTATCATCAAAACACATTCTAACAAACCAAAGCTTGGCAACTTGTTAAGGAATTTAGTTAGAGAGTACTCAATTGAATCAATGAGATCTTATCCTACCATGCACAAGCTGAGTTTGCCTTCAATGATTTACTTAATGGTTCTATAGGGAAGACTCTTTTTGAGGTTGTATACTTGATAACCAAAATCTCAAGCAGACAGAAAGAGCGAAAGATAGGTATGGTCTCAACAAAAATAACTCTTGGGTGGCATGGAGATCAAGACACCCCTCCTAAAGACATGAGATGAGAAGAACCCGATTCATCAATGCGAGGCATGCCACTATCGAACCACCTCTGCCATCCCCTCCCAATAAACATTGGGTTCCTAAGAAAAATGATTTTAGGAAAAGGGATGAAGGTGAGCTGGACAGACCAAAAAAGTGGTGGTTTGGAAGACAACTCCATCAACTCCGGTTATGTGCCGCTATGTCATGAAGGAAAGGATGTTGTGATGCAACAAGATTTTGATGTGGATAGGGAAATTGCCCTTCTTGAAATGCACAATATAAGTCCGAACACCAATTCTGTTGTCAATGAGGATAATTAGCTGGAATGTTAGAGGTGCAGGGAGAGACAAGTTAGGGATTTCAGTAGAATCCATAAGCCTAGTGTATGTTTTTTGATGGAGACTAGAACAAATCCAGAAAGATCTATCAAAATACCCAAGTCCTTTCTTTTTGATGAATTTATGACGGTGATTCTGTTGGATTTTCTGGAGGTTTGTGGCTCTTTTGGAACAAAAATTTATGTAATCTCCAAGTTGTCTTTTCTAATGATCGTATGATCCATACCCTTGTGACTGATCTTAATTCCAACAAATCATGTTTGTGCACTTTTATTTATGCCCCCCTAGTAAATTTGATGAAAGAATTGTTTGGAGTTGGTTAAGAGATATTTCAAACAACATTAATGAAGCTTGGTGTGTCATTGGTGATTTTAATTCATATAGAAAAAGAGAGGATAAGAGAGGGGGAAGAGAAGTTCGTTTTAGCCAATTCAAAAATTTAATGACCTTATTGGTGATTGTAACCTTATGGACTTAGAAATGAAAGGGCTGCAATATACATGGAAAAATAAGACTGTGCGGGAGTGCTTAATGAGAATTGGAGGATGATGTTCCCCAATGCTTGTCTCATTAATCTCCCTTTCCTAGAATCTGATCACTCCCCTCTATTACTTAATACATATACGTTGGAAAATTTCGGGACTAAGCCATTTAGATTTTAGTCCATGTGGTGTTTAGACCCAAATCTTGAAACAATTATCTAGGATGCTTGGAACTTTGAGACAAAGGGTACTCGAGCTATGCAATTTGTAAGGAGAACAAACTTATTCAAGTTCTTAATGATTGGAACAGAAATAAATTTGGTAACATTTTCAAAAGAAAAGAGGATATCATCAAAAGATTGTAGGAAGTGAAAAAGCAACAAATTGATTCAACGAATAGTCCCGCTCTTCACAATCTTGAGAGAGCTCTCCATAAACAATTAAATAATCTCCTTAAAAGAGATGAGTTTTATTGGGCCCAGAATTCTAGAATTGATTGGATCAATTTAGGGGATAGGAATAACAAATTTTTTTTCACACAATGGCCAAAATGAAATAAGATTGCCTATATCAAAGATAATGATGGAATTGTATTAAATGACCAAAATGAAATTACAAACTACTTTTGTAAACAATTTGAAAAAAGATTCCGGGGCCAGGGGAATTGTAACATTGAAGAAGTCATTAGGGGTATAACTCCTTGTATTAGTAAGGCTCAAAACAATGATATTGGGAGGGATGTTACTGATGAGGAAATCTTCTATGCCCTCAACTCTATGAAGGATCTTAAAGCACCGGGACCTGATGGTCTCAATGTTTTATTCTTCAAAAAATACTGGACCATTGTTAAGGATTTAGTGTGCAAAGTTGTAAAAGCTTTCTTCCATTCGGGAAAGCTATGTAGAATTCTCAACAAAACATTCATTTCACTCATCCTAAAAAGAAAAATACAGAATCAATAGATTACTTTAGACCTATTAGTCTGTGCAATGTTATTTATAAAATTATTTCAAAAATTTTAGTAAATAGAATAAAGCCTCTATTGGATAAAATCATTTCCCCGTACTAAAGTGCTTTTATTCCTAATAGACAAGTCAATGATAATATTCTTATTGCTTATGAGATGATGCATTCTATGAGGAAGAAGAGGGGTAAAGTGGGGGTGATGGCCTACAAGATTGACATGGAGAAAGCTTATGACAGACTGGAATAGAATTTTATTGAGAAAGTCCTAAGAAAATTTGGATTCCATGAGAAATGGGTAAATTGGGTTATGGAGTGCATCAAAATGGTTTCTTACCAAATTTTAATTAATGGGAAGCTTACTAGAGAATTCCACCGCACGAGAGGTTTAAGATAGGGAGACCCTCTTTCCCCTTATCTATTTGTCCTCTATGCTGAAGTCTTAGCAAGATTGCTAGAGCAAGAGTCTTTGGAAATGAGAAACCCTATTGGCTACAAAGTTGCTAGTGGTGCTCCTAAGATTCCCATCCTTCAACTTGCTGATGATTGTCTTATTTTTTCTGATGCAATGATCCTTGCGGGGCTTAAAATCAGAGAAATTCTGGATAACTATGCAAAGGCATCCAGTCAAAGCCCTAATTTTTTAAAATCTTTAGTTATTTTCTTTGTGAACATGCCTATGAGATTCAGGAAGATTCTAGCAAAAATTATGAAGATTCCATTAGAAGCAAACTACAAATCCTATTTAGGTACCCCCATTATTAGTAAGTTGGCAAATTAGAAAAAGAACTCTCTCTATGATTGGTAGAATCACTCTTCTTAACTCCACTATTGGTATGATTCCTCATTTTGTGATTGGATCCTTCCAGATTCCAAAGAACATGATTGAGAAGATTGATAGAATTCAAAGGGGCTTTCTCTGGTCCAACTTTGATGGCAGGAAGCTGATTCACCTTATGAAGTGGGAAAAAAAGTTTGCACTCCTAATGGTAAGGGTGGTCTAGGCCTTAAATACCTTGCCTGGGTCAATGAAGCCAACCTTGCAAAATTAGGTTGGAAAATCCTTACTGATGATAACAATTTGTGGGTTAGAATAATTAAAAGTAAATACCTAAAAGCAATCAAGTTTTTGGATGCTAAATGCAAGAAAGGTATCTCATGGGCTTGGAGAGGTATCCTTGCAGCTAGAGAACTTCTTATGAAGGGTTTGGGCTGGAAAATTGGCAATGGTTAGGGCTATTCATAAGAAGGCCCAACCTGACCAACCGACCAACCCGGACTGCCCAACCCGAGTTGGCCGGGTTTTCATAAGCACCAGTCGATTTCGGGTTGTACAAATTCATAAACCGATGGTTCGGGTCGATTTCAATTTTCTTGTGTGAAAATCGAAATCGACCCGAACCAAAAACTAAGTTGCCTCTATCCTAATTCCTAATTACAACCTAACCTAGTCTTCTAG